GAAAGAAAGAAAGAAAGAAAGAAAGAAAGAAAGAAAGAAAGAAAGAAAGAAAGAAAGAAAGAAAGAAAGAAGGGGGATACGGCTTTCCCCCCTTTCCCCTCCCAACTGAAAAGCGTCTTCAGCCAAAGGACCGGGTGCAGCCGGCCATCCTCCGGCCCGGCCACTTTCACCGTCCCCAAAACCCCGTCTTAGTAATTGCTTTTTAGGTACCCCAGCGGGGAGTGTGAGAGGAAGGCGCTGTGGCCTCCGGTTTCTCGGCCTCTCTCCCCTCCCGCCCCGAAAATATGAGGGCAGCCCTCGCGGAACACGCCTGAAGGGAGGGACCCGAGGCTCCTCCCGCGCCGCTCCGAGTGCCTTTTAGGCGCACGCACGCCGGAGAGGGAGATGGATAGCACTGAGCTGGATGGCAGCGGCAGCACAGAAGCTCCCCAGCAATGCTGCCGGGAGGCTGCGCGGGCAGTCGGTGAAGCGGCGGGAGCGGCTATGGAGGAGTCCGCAGCGGAGGCTTCTTCTTCAGGGGACTCGGTTGCTTCGGCCCCCAAGGCCGTCAGCCCTGTCAGCGCTCCCCAACAGGAACTGAAGCAGCAGCAGCAGCAGCAAGGGGTCAAGAGGCACCATCACAAGCACAACCTCAAACATCGCTACGAGTTGCAAGAAACGCTGGGCAAGGGTACCTATGGCAAAGTCAAGAGGGCCATCGAGAGGTTCTCAGGCAGAGTGGTAAGAGCTGAAAGGACTGGCCCGGGAGGGGCTGCTGGGAGAGAGTTGGTGGCACTATTGAAGCATCTAAGCAGGGCACTTCTTGAGTGGACCTTTTATGTATGGCAGCCTTCTCTAAGGTGATGGTGCTCGCTTTGTAGGCTGCTTCTGGAGCAAAGGGGTTTCAACATCTTAAAAATAAAAACATGAACTCACATAACCATTAACTACAAAACCTGAGAGTTGTAGTTCTAACACCCCCTGGGAGGGTACCAGCTTGGGGAAGACTATTTTGTAATATACCTAAATTTCCGAAGCTTGATGGTGACTGTAGTGCTGCTTTTGCTTTTGCTTTCTTTATCTCAAAGCTGTATGTAGCCTTCTCTTAGCCTCTAGAGAGTTTGTTATGTTCTTGCCTCCTCCTCTCTTACTGAGATCCAAAAATTCACTGGAGGAGTGTTTATGACCTCTCCAGAAGTGTTTGATCATGGAATTTTATTTTGAGCCTTTCTCTCCAGATGTCAACTGAGCTCATTTATAGAAATCAGAGGTAGTTCCTTGAATAAGGAGAACTGGATCATTGGTAAATTGGCATTATTTGTCTCTTTCCTTCCAGCAATCAGACATTGCTCTGTTGTTCAAAGTGTGGACATAACATCCATTGAAACACATAGCTTAGTTTTCTAACCAGAGATGGCTTTGAGATTGTACAGTTGTTAAAGACCAACAGTGCGTTAGTGCGGATGATGACATGGACTTTATCAACCTCTATAACAAACATATTGATGCAATTGCTCCTATCAAAGGGAAGTTTAGAGTCCACTTTATTTTGCAAACTAATGTTGCAGTGTACTGTAGCTGTTCTGGGCACAACGTTGTTGCTTTTTGTCACCTGAATAAGGTGCCTGAATATCAGAAAAATTCAGGCACGTGTATCAGGTTTCATGTAATAGGCTAAAAGTACAGCTATTTTCCTTTGATGCTGTCTACTAGCCATATCTGATGGTTCTGCATTTAAATCAGGTATGCATGTGCTTTCTGCAAAATCATACAATTGTTTGATCAAGTGCTTTGCAGTAGATTTGGTTCAGGCTCCATGTTTTGTTGGTATTTTCCATTTTTCCTATTGCTTGCTCAGTCAGTGTTTTGAACAAGAGACTCAAGTAAACAAGTAAGCAAACAATAGAGTAGTGAAAAGCACCTTAGCTACATGTGGTGTGATTGTGTATGTGAGAGTGTCCTCTTTTAAAGAATATTTTAGCTTTTCCATGGTGTGATTTGTGGTTAAAAACACTAAATCCTAGCGCAGTGGTCAAAATAATTAAATAATATCCCAGTGCTGTATAGCATGAAAAGAATCTTTAAACACCTGGTTCAGATAAGTCTTAATGTTGTATTATGCTCTCTGTCATTTTACTAAATCATTAAGATAGTTAATCAAAAGCAGAAGTGAGTGCTCATGTTCTTTTTGGCTGCCTGTTTTTTTCTTTGAAAAAGAACATTGCCTGGAGTGTATCATATTACAGGGGTTTAAAATTAGCAAAACATCTAGCTCAAAAAAATGTACAAGCCGAAGAGTATCATTTCCAGATTGTATTAGTCTGCTCTTTTCAATAACTTCATGTTTATTAATTTTATGACAGCCCGGATAGTTTTTTAGGTTTGCTTTAGAGCAGTGCATTTGCAGTTAAAGAAAGAGACAAACCGAAGAAAATGGAGCAAAATCATCAAAATGCAATAGCAGTGATATTTATAATATATTTACTTGTTTATGGATTCTTGGGTTTTAATTCAGAACGTGTGTTACATACCTCATGATAATGCTTGGCTGTGTTAAAAATGGCAATGTACTTTACTGAAAAACATATAAACATCTCTTGTCTGTTAATATGTGTAATATACCCTCTTCACACATAAGAGTGTTATGAAAGGTATTTGGCCCAAAATTTAAACTGGGAATTCATTTAGCCTACTTTTTCCTATCTGTGCTATCTTTCTTTCTCCTTAGTCATAACTAATGGAATCATTAAAGGGCTTTGATTAGAGTGACTGTGTATTGTAACCAGCAGAGGGGGTCCTTGGTACAATGTGACCAGCATAATTCCTACCATGACCTCATGTAGAGAAAAGTTTAGGACTGTATTAGAAATCTCAAGGTCATGTTGTCACCTATGTCATTTGTTTGCTGTCATATTAGTAGATGAGGTAGCATTTTCCTACACAGTAGTATATAAATATTTGGAAACATAGGGGAACATCTAGAAATATCCTAGGTAGCTTACCCTCACCAGGTTACCTAAACAAAAACATTTCCATTAATATTTTATTACTTGTAATTTTGGTTTGAAGCATACAGCTGTGGACTTTTTATAGAAAAATCAGACACCACTAATTAGAATTTCAGATACTGGCTTTTCTTTTGGCTTCTGAGAGAAATCCTATGAAATTTGAAGGAAAATCTCTAAACATCCCCAAATGGGAGAAAATATTCAAATTTGTATTTTAAGAAAAAAGGTTATATAGTAAAAATTATAACCTGTGTGCACTCTTTTCTTTTGCTTTCCTACACACAACACTCCTCCAAGGTAGATATTGGCATCTAGGAATTTGATAATTTTTTATTCTGAAAAATGCTTATAAGTTTGACATTGGTTTTGAGAAATGTATAATACTTTCTCAGCCCTAGTTTATGTGATGGCTGTTGAGCTGTGACTTGGATTATAGATATGTTATATTTAGTTTGTTGTTAGCAGCAACTTGTTATTTATTCTTGTCTACTTAATAATGTAGTGGAGATTAGGTTGCACACTGAATGAAACGAAACACAAGAATACAACCTACATATACTGAGGCATCTTACCTGCCAAACATTCACTGGGATTCTGAAATTCAAGTATGATTTCTATAAACACATAACAGTAGTAATCTGTAAAGTAATCTGCATGGTAGGCTGGCATTTAAGGGTTGGTTGTGTGCCATGGATTACATAGAATTATATGCAAGGAAGAAACAGTCTTTGATATGGGTTATAGAATGAAATCTGGCCTCCTAATTTCTCATTCTCTTTCCTTGATTCTGCCTAGTCATGCCAGATGTTGAAGTGCTTCTTTGCGCCTCTCTTCCCAGTGAAGATAGCTACCGGTATTTGCTTCTAAGTAAACCAGGCATATGATTAATTTAAAAATCCATTGTGCCTTGCTGCAATTCTATCTGTTCTTAAATAGGCAAATTCATTTTTGTGTGGGCACATTTTCAAGGCTACTATACTGAAAAAAATGGTCATTTTGTTAATTCACTCAGATACAGCTCAACAGAATTTTATGCTTCATGCAAAATAGGAGGAGGACAATGGATTATGTTTGCCACCTTCAGTTATTTGTAAAAATACTAAAGGCAGAATACAAATAAATGAATACATAAATACACATTTATTCACCTTAAATTGCAATTCAGGTAGTATGGTGAGCACAATTGAGACCAGCAGCTTGGTCATTAAACCAAGCGGTTGCTAAGCGAATTTGTGATTATACTCATTATCTTATTCAGCTTTCCTTTATTTTACCATCCTGCAAAGGTTGTAAATGTAAGAATTGATTGCAAAATTATTTTTATCACCATTTATCTGTGCAAACAGTCCTTAAACAAGGCAGTCGCTAAACAAGGTCTACTGTACTAGCAATCTGTGAGTTAATTCTTGAAGAAATGTCTCCTAGAGATCATCAACAGAACGGAATAGTTTGATTCCTTTATCCTATAAAAACTCTAAGCAGTGTCTACCTCTACTTCTACCACTACATCTACATCTAATCCTATCCCTATCCCTATCCCTATCCCTATCCCTATCCCTATCCCTATCCCTATCCCTATCCCTATCC